GTAGATGATAACCCTCTGAGTGTTGTTTCAGATCAAAGATGTAGATGATAACCCTCTGAGTGTTGTTTCAGATCAAAGATGTAGATGTTAACCCTCTGAGTGTTGTTTCAGATCAAAGATGTAGATGTTAACCCTCTGAGTGTTGTTTCAGATCAAAGATGTGGATGTTAACCCTTTGAGTGTTGTTTCAGATCAAAGATGTAGATGATAACCCTCTGAGTGTTGTTTCAGATCAAAGATGTCGATGTTAACCCTCTGAGTGTTGTTTCAGATCAAAGATGATGATGATAACATCTGAGTGTTGTTTCAGATCAAAGATGTAGATGTTAACCCTCTGAGTGTTGTTTCAGATCAAAGATGTAGATGATAAACCTCTGAGTGTTGTTTCAGATCAAAGATGTAGATGATAACCCTCTGAGTGTTGTTTCAGATCAAAGATGTAGATGTTAACCCTCTGAGTGTTGTTTCAGATCAAAGATGTAGATGTTAACCCTCTGAGTGTTGTTTCAGATCAAAGATGTAGATGATAACCTCTGAGTGTTGTTTCAGATCAAAGATGTAGATGATTAACCCTCTGAGTGTTGTTTCAGATCAAAGATGTAGATGTTAACCCTCTGAGTGTTGTTTCAGATCAAAGATGTAGATGTTAACCCTCTGAGTGTTGTTTCAGATCAAAGATGTAGATGATAACCCTCTGAGTGTTGTTTCAGATCAAAGATGTAGATGATTAACCTCTGAGTGTTGTTTCAGATCAAAGATGTAGATGATAACCCTCTGAGTGTTGTTTCAGATCAAAGATGTAGATGACTTAACCTCTGAGTGTTGTTTCAGATCAAAGATGTAGATGTTAACCCTCTGAGTGTTGTTTCAGATCAAAGATGTAGATGATAACCCTCTGAGTGTTGTTTCAGATCAAAGATGTAGATGATTAACCCTCTGAGTGTTGTTTCAGATCAAAGATGTAGATGATAACCCTCTGAGTGTTGTTTCAGATCAAAGATGTAGATGTTAACCCTCTGAGTGTTGTTTCAGATCAAAGATGTAGATGTTAACCCTCTGAGTGTTGTTTCAGATCAAAGATGTAGATGATAACCCTCTGAGTGTTGTTTCAGATCAAAGATGTAGATGTTAACCCTCTGAGTGTTGTTTCAGATCAAAGATGTAGATGATAACCCTCTGAGTGTTGTTTCAGATCAAAGATGTAGATGTTAACCCTCTGAGTGTTGTTTCAGATCAAAGATGTGGATGTTAAACCTCTGAGTGTTGTTTCAGATCAAAGATGTAGATGATAACCCTCTGAGTGTTGTTTCAGATCAAAGATGTAGATGTTAACCCTCTGAGTGTTGTTTCAGATCAAAGATGTAGATGTTAACCCTCTGAGTGTTGTTTCAGATCAAAGATGTAGATGATAACCCTCTGAGTGTTGTTTCAGATCAAAGATGTAGATGATAACCCTCTGAGTGTTGTTTCAGATCAAAGATGTAGATGTTAACCCTCTGAGTGTTGTTTCAGATCAAAGATGTAGATGATAACCCTCTGAGTGTTGTTTCAGATCAAAGATGTAGATGATAACCCTCTGAGTGTTGTTTCAGATCAAAGATGTAGATGTTAAACCTCTGAGTGTTGTTTCAGATCAAAGATGTAGATGTTAACCCTCTGAGTGTTGTTTCAGATCAAAGATGTGGATGATAACCCTCTGAGTGTTGTTTCAGATCAAAGATGTGGATGATAACCCCTCTGAGTGTTGTTTCAGATCAAAGATGTAGATGTTAACCCTCTGAGTGTTGTTTCAGATCAAAGATGTGGATGTTAACCCTTTGAGTGTTGTTTCAGATCAAAGATGTAGATGATAACCCTCTGAGTGTTGTTTCAGATCAAAGATGTAGATGATAACCCTCTGAGTGTTGTTTCAGATCAAAGATGTAGATGATAACCCTCTGAGTGTTGTTTCAGATCAAAGATGTAGATGATAACCCTCTGAGTGTTGTTTCAGATCAAAGATGTAGATGTTAACCCTCTGAGTGTTGTTTCAGATCAAAGATGTAGATGATAACCCTCTGAGTGTTGTTTCAGATCAAAGATGTAGATGATAACCCATTGAGTGTTGTTTCAGATCAAAGATGTAGATGTTAACCCTCTGAGTGTTGTTTCAGATCAAAGATGTAGATGTTAACCCTCTGAGTGTTGTTTCAGATCAAAGATGTAGATGTTAACCCTCTGAGTGTTGTTTCAGATCAAAGATGTAGATGATAACCCTCTGAGTGTTGTTTCAGATCAAAGATGTAGATGTTAACCCTCTGAGTGTTGTTTCAGATCAAAGATGTAGATGATAACCCTCTGAGTGTTGTTTCAGATCAAAGATGTAGATGTTAACCCTCTGAGTGTTGTTTCAGATCAAAGATGTAGATGATAACCCTCTGAGTGTTGTTTCAGATCAAAGATGTAGATGTTAACCCTCTGAGTGTTGTTTCAGATCAAAGATGTAGATGATAACCCTCTGAGTGTTGTTTCAGATCAAAGATGTAGATGATAAACCTCTGAGTGTTGTTTCAGATCAAAGATGTAGATGTTAACCCTCTGAGTGTTGTTTCAGATCAAAGATGTAGATGTTAACCTTCTGAGTGTTGTTTCAGATCAAAGATGTAGATGATAACCCTCTGAGTGTTGTTTCAGATCAAAGATGTAGATGATTAACCCTCTGAGTGTTGTTTCAGATCAAAGATGTAGATGATAACCCTCTGAGTGTTGTTTCAGATCAAAGATGTAGATGATAAACCTCTGAGTGTTGTTTCAGATCAAAGATGTAGATGATAACCCTCTGAGTGTTGTTTCAGATCAAAGATGTAGATGATAACCCTCTGAGTGTTGTTTCAGATCAAAGATGTAGATGATTAACCTCTGAGTGTTGTTTCAGATCAAAGATGTAGATGATAACCCTCTGAGTGTTGTTTCAGATCAAAGATGTAGATGTTAACCCCTCTGAGTGTTGTTTCAGATCAAAGATGTAGATGTTAACCCTCTGAGTGTTGTTTCAGATCAAAGATGTAGATGTTAACCCTCTGAGTGTTGTTTCAGATCAAAGATGTAGATGTTAACCCTCTGAGTGTTGTTTCAGATCAAAGATGTAGATGTTAACCCTCTGAGTGTTGTTTCAGATCAAAGATGTAGATGATAACCCTCTGAGTGTTGTTTCAGATCAAAGATGTAGATGTTAACCCTTTGAGTGTTGTTTCAGATCAAAGATGTGGATGTTAACCCTCTGAGTGTTGTTTCAGATCAAAGATGTAGATGATAACCCTCTGAGTGTTGTTTCAGATCAAAGATGTAGATGATAACCCTCTGAGTGTTGTTTCAGATCAAAGATGTAGATGTTAACCCTCTGAGTGTTGTTTCAGATCAAAGATGTAGATGATAACCCTCTGAGTGTTGTTTCAGATCAAAGATGTAGATGATAACCCTCTGAGTGTTGTTTCAGATCAAAGATGTAGATGTTAACCCTCTGAGTGTTGTTTCAGATCAAAGATGTAGATGATAACCCTCTGAGTGTTGTTTCAGATCAAAGATGTAGATGATAACCCTCTGAGTGTTGTTTCAGATCAAAGATGTAGATGTTAACCCTCTGAGTGTTGTTTCAGATCAAAGATGTGTAGATGTTAACCCTCTGAGTGTTGTTTCAGATCAAAGATGTAGATGATAAACCTCTGAGTGTTGTTTCAGATCAAAGATGTAGATGATAACCCTCTGAGTGTTGTTTCAGATCAAAGATGTAGATGATAACCCTCTGAGTGTTGTTTCAGATCAAAGATGTAGATGTTAACCCTCTGAGTGTTGTTTCAGATCAAAGATGTAGATGTTAACCCTCTGAGTGTTGTTTCAGATCAAAGATGTGGATGTTAACCCTCTGAGTGTTGTTTCAGATCAAAGATGTGGATGATTAACCCTCTGAGTGTTGTTTCAGATCAAAGATGTAGATGATAACCCTCTGAGTGTTGTTTCAGATCAAAGATGTAGATGTTAACCCTCTGAGTGTTGTTTCAGATCAAAGATGTAGATGATTAACCCTCTGAGTGTTGTTTCAGATCAAAGATGTAGATGATAACCCTCTGAGTGTTGTTTCAGATCAAAGATGTAGATGTTAACCCTCTGAGTGTTGTTTCAGATCAAAGATGTAGATGATAACCCTCTGAGTGTTGTTTCAGATCAAAGATGTGGATGATAAACCTCTGAGTGTTGTTTCAGATCAAAGATGTAGATGATAACCCTCTGAGTGTTGTTTCAGATCAAAGATGTAGATGTTAACCCTCTGAGTGTTGTTTCAGATCAAAGATGTAGATGATAACCCTCTGAGTGTTGTTTCAGATCAAAGATGTAGATGTTAACCCTCTGAGTGTTGTTTCAGATCAAAGATGTAGATGTTAACCCTCTGAGTGTTGTTTCAGATCAAAGATGTAGATGATAACCCTCTGAGTGTTGTTTCAGATCAAAGATGTAGATGATAACCCTCTGAGTGTTGTTTCAGATCAAAGATGTAGATGATAAACCTTCTGAGTGTTGTTTCAGATCAAAGATGTAGATGTTAACCCTCTGAGTGTTGTTTCAGATCAAAGATGTAGATGTTAACCCTCTGAGTGTTGTTTCAGATCAAAGATGTGGATGTTAACCCTCTGAGTGTTGTTTCAGATCAAAGATGTAGATGATAACCCTCTGAGTGTTGTTTCAGATCAAAGATGTAGATGTTAAACCTCTGAGTGTTGTTTCAGATCAAAGATGTAGATGTTAACCCTCTGAGTGTTGTTTCAGATCAAAGATGTAGATGATAAACCTCTGAGTGTTGTTTCAGATAAAAAATGTAGATGTTAACCCTCTGAGTGTTGTTTCAGGTCAAAGATGTAGATGTTAACCCGCTGAGTGTTGTTTCAGGTCAAAGATGTGGATGTTAACCCTCTGAGTGTTGTTTCAGATCAAAGATGTAGATGTTAATCCTCTGAGTGTTGTTTCAGGTCAAAGATGTGGGTGTTCCCTTTCATCGTGGTGAATTCAGTCGTCGCTTTTGTGACGTTCATTTCTTCCTGTATCATCAGCGTTGGCTTCAAGACGTTCTGTGATGGCTTCCTAAAGGGCAGAGAGATGGGTCACATTATTAGCAGGTTAGCATTGATTCGGGTCTTTTAAAGAAAATTCTGTGAAAAAAAGATCCTTTAATGCGATACAAGAGATGTTCTGCCAACCTCTTTGTATCTGTTCTTATGACACGTTAAATGTGTAAATATACCCATAACATAATATATAAACAATTTTCACTAATCATTTCCATATCGTTCATTATTGCAGCTGTGCCGACGGGGAGAAATTCACGTGGAATGCAGACTACCGGACTCACTCTTTCTACACTTACCTGACAGTAACACAGGTAAGCTTGTCTCATAACGTACACACTACAGTTATGCAGGCTAGTTAGACTAATTATACTCAAGTTACACTGCACATCGCAGCACGACATGCCTAGATTGGGGTCGTCTATAAATAGCACTACAGCTGAGTCAAATACGTTCTGTAAGAGTAACAAAAACACTTTGAAATGTGCACTGAAATATATAAAAAGACTCGATTGTAAACTTTGGACCCCTTCGAAAGCATAACTATGTTAATTTTGGAAACAACATCAACAAAATTCAATACACGATGGTTTTGGCAGCAACAACATGGATCTTATAAAATGTTTCCTGATTGGACAATCAATTGTCAAGTGCGACGTTAAACCCCATTCACTTCACTTCACACCCGGAAGTTCATCTGGCGCGCAAAACCTCCTGGACATACCTTTGACAGGATTCCCTTGAACATACCTTTGACAGGATTCTGACAACTATAACTGAAATAAGGAACATTCTTACTAAACTTGAGAATGAACAGTGTGATGTTACTGTTTCCTTTTTCAGATTGCAACATGGAGCACCCTCCTGGTGTGGGTGCTTCTGGTAATCGAGGGCATCATCAGATTTCTAAGGAACAGACGCCAGGCCAATGCACAAGCCACCTCTGACCTTAAGAACTTTGCAGCCTCGGAACCATCAGCATAATAATATGTCACAGTTTTCGTGTCCGTGGCTGGATCGACAAGAACAAACTGTGCATACCTTTCTTTGTATACAGAAACAGTTTTCAAAGATGAAGAGTACAGTGACCTTGACCTCGCCCTTAACCCAGTAGGTCGGGGCATGCCGTTTGGAGGTCACCTGGTGACGTTGTTGTTGTAGGTGTGAATTGTTTCTAATTACTTCGAGAGTTGATTGCCTGACTGTTACCAGGTAATGTCCATATACTCTCTGAGGCTTCTATCATATATATAGATCTCACTTGGATGAAGGTCTCGCACTTGAAAAGGTAATGGAACTCATCTGCTATAGCAGGTGAGTTACAGAGAGGACAAAGTCTTTCACCTCTTGGTACTCCACTCCAACGGCCTGTTTCCACAGGGAAGTTATGGTTTGACGCAATTTCATCAGCTGTAATGATAACGTCTTAGGAAGAAGAAGGTATGATTCAATTCCAAAAGTCTATTTGAAATAGCAATAATATAAACCTTTAGGGCTTGCAGAGATATTGCCTTTCCAATTTTGAAAGAACTGGTCTTTAAGAATTCTTTCAGCGTTCGAAACTAACCATGGGGTGGAGTACCCAGATGGAGTATTCCAAATAGGGTTTAAACCAATTTAAACCAATGTTATTTAAGATACTCTGTATACAAGTGAGCCATTGTTATTAATTTCAAAATCTAACCGAACAAATCGAAGCATTATTTGAGTGAACTTAGTTACACCTATTTAGAAATGTAATTTATGTCAAAAATGTAACATACGCTTGTATATCTTGATATATAAAGGTTCTCTTCCTAGTTTCCCATATACCATAAAATTTGGTGTAGACTTTCGTAGGCCGGCAGCGAGCTTAAGAAATTTTAGATGGACTTGTTCAATTAAGTGTAGGTTTTCAAACCCCCAAACTTCTGAGCCATGTTTTTAAATTGGAACAACCAAAGTGTCAAATGCTGAGAATAAACAGTCTAGAGGTAAGTTGATATTTCGAGAATTGCTGAGTAGACCATACCTTGCTTTTTGTGCATTTTCGCATAGAGATTTTATTGCATATATTAATTGTCTATTTCTATGCAAGTTAATTCCAAGATAAGTATAGTAATCAACTATCTCTAAACAATTTCTACCGTAAAAGAAGGCAAGTTTTGATGATATAGCAGGAACGCCTCCAAATATAACAACTTTAGTTTTCGCAATATTAACGTTTAACTTCATCATAATACAATACTCGTTAAAACCATTTAAGGACTTCTGTAAGCCGCCTAGTGTAACATCAAAAATAGCAGTGTCATCAGCATAACGTAATACAATGACTTGAATCCACATAATAACATCTAATACCTGTTCGACAAACGCACAGATACAAATTATTCCGACAAAATGCATGGAACTGTTTTGCCCAGTCTAAATTCAGGAACCAATCACGGAAATATCTACTTGCAAAACATAGATTAGCGTGTGTTATGTGATAGGACAGTTTCGATTTTTTAGGAAGGGTTCCTTTTGGCTTTTTGTTCGTTCGGCTGTTTACTTATATATTTGATTGCTCATTTTTCGGCTCACTTGCACATAGAATTTAGAAGTCTTGACCTAACTCATTAGCACATTAGAGAGTTTATTTCTCACTCGTGCCTTCCATCTTGTCGCAAAGGGTTAACTTATCGCACTAAAGGATATGATCTGAGTTGTAGAGACATGGCAACTTCTAATGTGCTTTCAGTGTATTGTACATTTATCATCACAACAGCACTGTGCATATCTATCACTTTGATGTATATTCTTTCAATGTATGTTGTGTGATGGGACGCACTTTTACCACCTGTGGTGGTGCTCAGGCATGAAATGATCTGATCTGAATTATTTGGTGAAAACCTTGAGTCTTTCTGCTTTCTTGACGGTATCAGCTTGAGTTGAGTGCCGCACTCAAATATTCCAGCTATAAGACTGTAAATAATCGTGTCTGAACAAGACAATCTAGTGATTGGGCTTTGCTTGACGGTATCAGCTTGAGTTGAGTGCCGCACTCAAATATTCCAGCTATAAGACTGTAAATAATCGCGTCTGAACCAGACAATCTAGTGATTGGGCTTTGCTTGACGGTATCAGCTTGAGTTGAGTGCCGCACTCAAATATTCCAGCTATAAGACTGTAAATAATCGCGTCTGAACCAGACAATCTAGTGATTGGGCTTTGCTTGACGGTATCAGCTTTGAGTTGAGTGCCGCACTCAAATATTCCGGCTATAAGACTGTAAATAATCGCGTCTGAACCAGACAATCTAGTGATTGGGCTTTGCTTGACGGTATCAGCTTGAGTTGAGTGCCGCACTCAAATATTCCAGCTATAAGACTGTAAATAATCGCGTCTGAACCAGACAATCTAGTGATTGGGCTTTGCTTGACGGTATCAGCTTGAGTTGAGTGCCGCACTCAAATATTCCAGCTATAAGACTGTAAATAATCGTGTCTGAACCAGACAATCTAGTGATTGGGCTTTGCTTGCCGGTATCAGCTTGAGTTGAGTGCCGATACGCTGATCGAAAACCGGTATTTTGACTTGCATTCGGAAAACTTCGTAACACTCGGAAATCTTCGGATATTTCCTTTTTTCATTTGTGCCAAATATTATTCACATTTTTAATTTTAATCATGAATAAAAGTTGTTATTAAAGCTTAATCAAGCTAGTGATTTTGCTCTGTATTTGCTCTATAAATCAAGCATTTCCTATATTATAAGTAGTTTTTGTGTAAAAATACTTCACGCAATATATTGCAATACATATCGCAATACATGCTTTCGCATCGCAATATATCGCAATATGAAACTTCTCTGCAATACCCACCCCTATAAAATATGTACATAGTTATAAAACATACACAGCCAATCGCCCAGCGATTTACGAGAGACAAATAAATACTAAAATACTAAAACTTTATATGAATATGACATAAACGTATCTTAAAAGATGAACAGCAGAGATAAAACATTAAAATATACACATAACAAAAGGGGTACCGATAAAGATAAACGTTTAGTTATATAAAATACTCCTTCGTATAAAAACTATATTATGGCAGGTTCTGGAGGTGTGAAAGACTTAATCCGGGTGTCCTAAAATATTACTAAAAAATTGGCTGGTTGACAGGTTATCTAGGTCTGGCCATTTTACCTTGCTAGCATTGACGAGATAAATCCGTTCTTCGTTTTCGTTGCGGGTAGGTTAAAAGCACATCTCGTCCTTTTTTCAGTCTTTACAGTGGAAACAGAGTCTCTCTCATCGAGGGGAACATTTTCGTAACGTCCTGTTTCCACTCCTAGCGGGGCTAAACTTAGACAACGCACTTCTATGAGCTCTGGGTACAGGCCACCTGCCATAAGGTTCCGTTGTGTAGTTGTGTTTAAAATTCTGTAAGTTTTGAAATTATTTCTGCTGGCACAACTGTAAATAATCGTGTCCGAACCATGCAACCGCGTGATTGGGCTTCGCTTGTTGGTATCAGCTTGTCAGATGAAGAGTATCGATCTACGCAACTGTGGAGCCAGTTCTCTCTCACACACACGATTCAAGGCTTCAGTCCACTGGGCACTAAAACATATTTTACGGAGCTTCAATCTCAAAGAATTGCGCAGTGACCTCATTTCATTACTATTTTATACCCGTGAAGGTCCGGGTTTGAGTTGATCTTCAGTAACCCATGCTTTTCGTAAGAGGCGACTAACAGGATCGGGTGGTCAGACTCGCTGACTTGGTTGACACATGTCATCGGTTCCCAATTGCGTAGATCGATGCTCATGCTATTGATCACTGGATTGTCTGGTCCAGACTCGATTATTTACAGACCGCTGCCATATAGCTGGAATATTGCGGCGTAAAACTAAATTCGTTCACTCACTCATTTATATTTTATGCATTCGTATTTCGTAACATGTTATCACTTTTTATAGCACATACGACTTATTTGTTAATGTACACATTGGATGTTTTACACCTATAAAATAAATTTTATACACCCATGTTTCTAATTGTGCAATTAGAAGTGTGAATAAAATATATATTCCCTGTATCATTGTAATGTGAAGTTCACACGATATACGGTATTCCAACATTATCACTGCGGGGGCTTCACACAATGTACCCATGTTTGGAATCGAATTCGGGGCTAAGGCGTGACGAGCAAACGCTTTAACCACTGGGCTACCCAACCTCCCCTAAAATGGGATAGGTCAGATTGCTTGACTGCTTTTCCTTTCCTGGACTCGATCAGTGTTTTTAACTGACTCTAGCAGTCTGCAAGAATCTATAGATTCGCAATCTCCGACGTTCATTCAGTTTTGGTGAGTGAGTGAGTATCCCCGCAATATCACGACGGGGGACACCAGAAATGGGATTCACACATTGTACCCATGTGGGGAATCGAACCCGGGTCGCAAATACAAATACAACACACAATGAAATGTTCAGACAATCAACATCTGTGATTGAGGGGAGTATAATCAGTGTGTTGGGTCGTGAGTGTTCACACCGTGATAATAAACCGTCTGCACTCAGCAATATTCCGGTTATAAGGTGGCGGTCTGCGAAATAATTGAGTCTGGACCAGACAATTCAGTGACTAACGTAACGAGCATCGATCTACGCAACTGGGACACGATTACATGTGTCAACCCAGTCGACGAGTCAAGCTACATTGGGCAGGATGGTCACCAAAGTGTCAAGGCCTGGACGCCAGTCTGGATGTAGTGAGTGAGTTTAGTTTTACGCCGCACTCAGCAATATTCTAGCTATATGGCGGCGGTCTGTAAATAATCGAGTCTGGACCAGACAATCCATTGATCAACAGTATGAAAATCGATCCACGGAATTGGGATACGATGACATGTGTCAACCCAGTCAGCGAGCCTGACCACCCGATGCCGTTGGTCGCCTCTTACGAAAAGCATGGGTTACTGAAGATCAATTCTAACCCGGACCTTCACGGGACCCAGGTCGACAAGCCTGACCACCCGATCTCTCGACAAGCATGGATTCTGGAGATCAATTCTTACCCGGGTCTTCACGGGTTATCCTCACGGAGTCCGCTGTTCAGAGTGAGTGAGTTTGTGGGTGACTGACACACGAACATAGAATCGTGAATATCGAGGCCAACGTTGAATGCTTAATACACAACATACTTAGTCACACCCCACACTACCCATCCAGGATGAGAGTAGCTTTGTCGTGAAACCATGTGGGGCTTTTTCACAAGTTTCATTTGCTTGGTACAAATTCCTAGATTGTACGAAAGGAAACAAAATGAAATATTTACACTATATCGGGCGAGGTACGAGGTCCTTAGAGTTTACATTTCCCACGAACAACCGAGAACTGTTTCCTGTGACTTTCAAACCGTCGATACAATATTTATCCAGATTTGTTAAAGGTTATGTACAAGTGTGTGTTATACAGACTTAAAGAAACGTTCGTAAAATTTATCTGGTCAGTAAATATACGCTTGCGTCAGAGACAATATCATGAACTGGTCTCTGCTGGCATGATACCTCTTTCTGACGGTTGTGCTGACGTTAGGGTGCCTGACAACTGATTAGATTTGGTTCATCCACAGAGTGTCTGTTCCGGTTGTCCAGTTTGCAAGTCGAATACATTAAGTCAGGCCTGACGAGGTCATACACGACACAACTAAATCCTCTTTCCAGAACTAGTAGTGAGTGAGTTTAGTTTTACGCCGCTTTCAGCAATATTCAACCAATATCACGGCGGGGGACACCAGAAATGGGCTTCACACATTGTACCCATGTGGAGAATCGAACCCGAGTCTTCGGCGTGACGAGCGAACGCTTTAACCTCTGGGCTACCCCACCGCCCTCAGTAGTAAAACTTGAGGGTGAGGGGGAAGGGGTGTCTTACTTTGGTATGACAATGGGGAGTAGTTTTCGTGATGAACTCTAATTCTAAATAATTATTTTAATAATCCTAAAAAAGACAGGTATCAGCGGCGATATGCGTCATGGAAACTGGTATAAGCTGGCCACCCTCCTGTGTTCAGAACACTACTCGTGGTATACCGGTGTATAGCCACAACTACTACCCACTCTGCTAGACTAGTTCTCTCTTTCTCCGCCGCTCTGTTGCGTGTATTCGCACACCGACTGCATGGTGCTCACACCAACGATCATTGGTTGGGCTGACTCGAAATATTTCTTACAGCCACCACCATCAAGCTATAACCAGATGCGTCTGAAAACAACACTGCTTATGCAGTTGTAAACTGATATATTATACTTCCCTAGTCATTCTTCCAGACAGACAGACAGCAGCAGACAGACAAGAAAGACAGACCTTCGGACCCAGACAGGCATACAGGCAAAGTATTCATTAAAGAGACCTTTCCAGACAGGCAAATTACATTCTTCCAGACTCTAGATACTTAATATAAATTATAAAATCCAGCTTTCTATTTTAAACAGCATGGACTCACTGCTAGTCTATTTCCATTGAAGGTGGGGCGGTGGGTTAGCCTAGTGGTTAAAGCGTTGGCTCGTCACGCCGAAAACCCGGGATCGATTCCCCACATGGGCACAATGTGTTAAGTCCATTTCTGGTGTCCCCCGCCGTGATATTGCTGGAATAATGTTAAAAGCGGCGTAAGACTAAACTCACTCACTCACTCCATTGAAGGTGATATGCCTGTGACCAACCCCTAGCCCACTGGTTAGAGCGTTCGCCCTTCAAGCACAAAAAAAACATGTTCGATTCTCATCATGGTCAAGATTTGTGAAACCCAGTATCGGTGATCAAAACAGTGAAAATGTATCAACATTGATAACAATTTCCAAAAAAAATATAACATATTCGTCGTGAACCTATCATTGAGAGTTACTATCTTAGCAAGCATACCTTTTTCATTTTGTACTTCAAATAAAAACTCTCCAAAATATCTGAACAGTTATTAAATATTAGTTTTAACTTACGAGACAATCACGACAGCAGTTCACATACCACAAAAGCTAATGGTTCAGATAATCGGTGATTGTGTGTGATAAAAGAGGAGTGATATTGAGTGTTTGTGTGAGGGCCATTAACGATTTATTGATTAAATACCCCATACCTTCTGACAATTTGACTGAGTGTACCCACGTGGTTCTGAATACAAATACCCCCCGAACAGGTAGCAACAGATACCACCCGTTATAACGCCCGACCGGCTTCGCTATATCAACCAACTAAATGCTACCGCTGTCAAACATGTATTCTCGATATAACGCTTTTGAAAAATGTTACTGTTACAAAGTTTTGTTTTCATTGCGAGTATAAATGGTTATTTATGTTTCAGCTAAGGTTAAATGTATTTCTTAATCATTTTGCTGATTTGTAATCATCATCGCGTTATATCGATGGAGGTAGATCGATCACTCTTAACACACAAGTGATCGGTTGTGTCGGGTATTCTGGAGTCAGTGGCATAGCGGGGAGGCTCTGTAAATGTAAGTATAAACACTTTAAACATGCCCAGTCTTCGCGGGTGTCGTTTTACAGAACATAATTACCATCCGACCCCGAAGCATGTTACGTTAAAA